ATACATTATAAACAGGTTACTAATTGTAGAGGATTACATTAACCAAAACGTGCAAATAATTTAATTAGTTTTATACTTGATTAACTTTCGTTTGTTAAAATGTTTTAAAACAAATTAATATACAAATTTTCTTGTTTTTTTTTCTTTGCTCTTGAAGATACATCATTTCTTTTTTCACAAATACGGAATAAGAGGATTAATCAGAACGTCAATCAATCAAATTAAGCATGTTTTTAAATTTATTAGAATATGTTGTAAAAAAAAATTTGAATACAATACACAACGCACATCAGTAAAGAGTTGAACAACCGAGAATCATGTTATATCAATCTTAACATCTCAGTCAAGAAGCGAAGTACTCTTCCGGTATACCCTAAAGCCTATTTTCAGAATATTGGTCAGGGACGATGTATATTGCTACGTTTATAAGTTTTATGTTCCGTAAAAATGTATGTGTTTAATCAATAATTTTGGGTGCAATAAAAATTATAAGGAACAGTTGACGCTAGTTTATATGTAACGTATGATGTCATCATTCAAGAAGAAAAAAAATTGCAAGATAATTTAATACGTAGGCGATGATTTTATTATCGCGAATTACAGGAATTGAACGATTGAGATGACTGATCAAATGAATAGAACGATTGAAATAACATAAAGATGTTTATTATCATCTGCTCGAATCAAGTATCATTGATTATATAGTTTATTAAGTAATGTTAATTTATAATTCGTCGGAAAATATAAAATTAAAAAAGTTAAAAGTATATGTGTATTCATATCTATATTCAAATTTCTCAGTACTTTTAATATCTGCAAGTTTTCATTTTCGCTTGAGTTAGAAAAATATTTTGCTCTCCCCAATAATTCAATAAAATTTTCTTGAAAAACATAAAAAGACATATTAAACTATTTTACATTTTCTCAACACAGAACTTCTGATATTCTGATAAGCGATCGTATGGTTTGCTAATAAACGTGATTGAATTGATACAAAGCATGATTTGTTCGCTCGAGCATGCTCGATTTATCGTGTGTTCTCCGTTTGAAAAAATAAACTCCAGATGGGAAGTGTCAGCTTCCGTCTCTCCTGAGGCGCCAGCCTTCATTATGATCATATATATATTTAAAAACGGCGGTATTATTCATTAGATATCGTCTCGCGAGTGCTATTTATCATGTGCCGAAGATATATGTATATAGATACTCTAATATGCATATAGAATCCGCTAACATTCTCTCTCTCTCTCTCTCTCTCTCTCTCTTGGGAAAAGAATATACATTATTTAAATAACAAAAGTTAAATAACAACTGTTAAATAACAAAAGAAGCAAATCAATACTGCACGTTTTATTTGAGGAATTTTTATAATCTTACTTGTCAAAAATGTTAAAATGGGGTCTTGAACTCGCACGTCAGTGGCTTCATTCATCGCCACGAATGAAAGTGAAATTACGCAAGCAGCGCGCCCTGACCGCTAAACGGTGACGTCACTTTCGCCGATACAGAATCATGTTATCGCCAATTTTCTTCAAATATTTCTGAACAAATTAAATACATTTAAATTATTGTTAACTAAAAACTCAAGTTATCACAAAATATTTTATATCGCATTCTAGGTTTCTTCAAACTTAAGAATGAAGAAAAAGTGTACAGTATATAATAGTTGCTTATCACTATTCTCTCAAAAAAATTATGGGCCGCATTATAGGCTGATTTCACTATCTTTGATTAGTTGTCTTGATTAGATAAATTATTTAAAAATTGTTAAACTTAA